ATATTTGTGTTTGAATGCTTAAGCTGTGAATTTCTTGTTTGAACTGTAAATTGACTATATTAAGCTGTGAGTTTTGTATATTTAACTATGAATTAATTGTATTAAACTATGAATTGATAGTATTAAAATTTTTAAGTTTATAATATGCTTTTGAATGCATACTTTTTTTTTGTATTAAACAGTGAATTTTTTGTATTAACTTGTTTATTTTGTGGTTTAAAGTGTGGATCGACTGCATTAAGCTGTCAATTTCTTATATTAAGTTGTTATTTTTGTGTTTTAAATAGTAATTGACTGCATTAAGTTGTGAATTTTATGTTTAAACTATGAGTTGACTATATTAATCTGTGAATTTATTGTATTAAGTTGTGAATTGACTGTATTAACATGTGAAATGATTGGTATTAAACTGTGATTTTTTTTTTATAAATTTTTTGTTTGCTTTTGAAATAGAAGATTGAAGAAACACTATACATATATATCATTTTATCTGATTTTGAATAAAGTATGTAAAACTTAAATTGTGAATATTTGCTTAAATAAACTTTGAAAGAAGCACTAGCATATAAATCTGAAGGTATATGTGTAATTTGAAGATAAAAATATAGTTGTGAATGTATAATTTTTTATATTAAACTGTGAATTTTATATATTAAGCTGTGAATTTTATGTACTAAACTGTGAATTGACTGTATTAAGATGTGAATTATTAATAAATTTATGTTAAATATGAATGATTTATGTATGAATGTTTGTATTAATTTTCATGTGAACATATTTATTTTGTGTGTTGTATAAATATGTAAGAATGTATTAGTTTTTATAATTATTTTGCATTAAACTCTAAATAAGTAATTTAATTGGTATATTAAATTATGAATATAATATTTAAGCTATCAATCAATGATTTTATATATAGATCTGAAAGGAAGGATGATGGTGAAGGTGGCACAGGTGGTTTGTGGTGGCGTTCGGTAGTTGGTGGTGGTGATAGAGTTTGAGTTTAACTTTAAATATGCGAATTAGTGTATAGTTGATTGTGTTATGTTATGTTGTAAATTTTATATATTAAACTAAAAATAGATTGTATTAAGTTGTATATTTTATATAAATTTTGTGTTAAAATATGAATAAATGTATGCATGAAATTAAACTTTGTATTACTACTGAATTAATATGTTATTAAACTATGAATATGTCTTATACACGATATATTTTTTTAAATAAATCTACAATTTAGAAAAAAGAGAGGATTGAGTTTCTCAAGACATAAATCTATTTTTTTAATTAAAATTTTGTATATTTGGCTGCAAAAATAAAATGGTATGTATTAAAAATAATTACCAAAGAAATGAGAACTACAATATTTGTTTTATTAAGCTGTGAATATAACCAGAAAATACCATTAAATTTACTATTAGTCCAACAGTGGTCCGACAATGGTTCAGCGACTGTCTAACAACGAGTGGCGCAATTAGTTGTAAATTAGAGAATATAAAGTTTGTTTAATATAATATTAATATTTGATAATTCCAAAATGCTCTTAATGAAAACATTTAAAAAATTGTTTTTAGGGTTCTTAACATTTTTGGGTTCTCTCTCTCTCTCTCTCTCTCTCTCTCTCTCTCCTCTCTATATATATAGAATAATATATATATATATATATATATATATATATATATAGTATAATAATATATATATATATAGGACTAGGCGAATGTCCGCGCGTTGCGTGGATATAAAAAAATATTTTATATTTAAAATAACTAAATCATTGTTATTAACAATTAAATAATAATTTCATAAAAAATATAAAAAATGATTTTTAGTATTGTTATTATGTTGAACTATATTATAAGAGATAAGGTTGGAACTTGAAGTTGTTTTGCATATACAAAGTTATATGATTCAAATAGAAAAAAAAAATTTTAATAAATAAATCGTTATTGTTATCTATTAAATAATAATTTCATATTAAATTAAAACGTTTATATTAAATATTATCATTATGTAGAAAATACGATAATAGAGACATCTTTTTATCTATCTTAAATTTTATCATTCTGTACAACATATGATAATAGAGACAACTTTTTATCTTAAATAGTAAAAAAATGTTTTGTATCATAAATATTACCATAATTATGTAGAACATATGATAATAGTGACGTCTTTTATAAGGTTAAAACTTTAAATTGTATTACATACAGGGTTGTAAAACTTGGATAACACAACCAAATACTCGACATGTTACTTAAATTCGGCCTCCAATGGAAGCGAGTTTGCCTAACTCAGCCAGAAGACACTCGGATCCTTATTAAACTCGATCCAAATCTAAAAGATACGGTCCAAAATCATTTTTGAAATTCTGAAATTTAATTGATCACTTGTCGACAAAGACAATCTCACCAAAGAATACACTCAACGTCCTACAAAGTTAGATGCAAGGAAGATCTCATGGCTTAGTTCCTTTGAAATACTTCACAACCTTTCCTATTTATAGAGGAGAATACATTCTCTTGTTTACTTTCACGATCAATGTGGGATGAAGACATTTTAATTAAACTCATTATTTTATTTGCCAATAATTTCATTTTGTTAAATAAAATATTAAATAATAAAAATAAAACGTTATCCAGAAAATTTATTGTTCAATAGTTCCATTTTTCAGTAATCTCGTAAGTTGCTATAAAAAATTAAGTTATTATTGAATAATTTTTTGTTAAATCCTAAAATCATAAATTCAGTTAGGTACTTAATATATAAAGTTTGTTTATATGTATTTTCATGATTCAAAATGTCATTATAAAATGAATTCATTTATAAAATATAATCGAGTATATATTTCGTGCTTTTGAATCAAAGTGATTTTTCAAACAATTAAATTTATGTTTAGGTAGATTTTTTTATATTTATATACATTATGTAACTTATAATATTATTATAAACAATTTGAATAATCATGGGAGTTTCAAATGTATGTGGTGAAGGAAAATGCTTCATTTATCGGTCCAAATTGATCAAACTCGGACCGATTCAACTTAATATACCAAACTACATAACGTTTTTTCTATTGAAACGCGATTTGTATATATTTTGTGTTTTTGAATCAAATTTATTTTTCAAACAATTATAATTTTATGTTTAGGTAACTTATTTATAATATTATTAGAAACAATTTGAAAAATCATGGGAGTTTCAAATGTATGTGCTGAAAGGAAAATGTTCCCTTTATCGGTCTAAATTGATCAACTCGGACCGATTCAACTCAATATACCAAACTACATAATGGTTTTTCAACTGAAACTCTGTTTGAACCTAAAAAAATCTTGTTCAAAATCATTTTTGGGAGTCTAAAACTTAAATGGACAGTTGCCAATAAAGACAATCTCACCAAAGAATACCCTCAACATCCTAAAAAGGTAGGCATAAGGAAGTTCTCATGGTTTGGTCCCTTTGAAACATTTCACAACCTTTCCTATTTATAGAAGAGGAAACGTTCTCTTGTTTACTCTCACCATCGATGTGGGATGAAGACATTATAATAAAACACGTTTTCTTGTTAATAAAACATTATTCAACTTATTTAGTAAAACACTCTTTCTCTTGTTTACGCTTTCTTTATTGTTCAATAGTTCCATTTTTCTATAATCTCGTAAGTTGCTATCCAAAAAAGTAAGTTTTTATTGAATAACTTTTTTGTTCAATTCTAAAATCATAAATTCAGTTAGATACTTAATATAGAAAGTTTGTTTATATGTATTTTCAAGATTCAAAAGTTCATTATAAAAATAATTCATTTATAAAATATAATCTGCGTATATATTTCGTGCTTTTGATCAAATCGAATTTTCAAACAATTATAATTTTATGTTTAGGTAGATGTTTTTTTATATTTATATAACATTATGTAACTTTTTTAAAATATCATTGGAAACAATTTGAAAAATATTGGGAATTTCAAATGTATGTAGTGAAAGGAAAATGCTTCTTTTATGGTCAAAATAGATCAAACTCGGACCGATTCAACTAAATATATCAAACTACATATTTTTTTTTCTAGTGAAACCCGGTTTGTATATATTTCGTGCTTTTGAATCAAAGTGATTTTCCAAACAGTTATAATTTTAGGTTTAGGTAGATGCTTTTTTATATTTATATAAAATTATGTAATTTATTTATAATATTATTAGAAATAATTTGAAAAATCATGGGAGTTTCAAATGTTTGTTGTGAAAGGAAAATGATTCCTTTATCGGTCCAAATTGATCCAGCTCCGGTTCAACTTAATATACCTAACTACATAATTTTTTTTCTAACTGAAACACGGTTTAAACCTGAAAAAATTCGGTTCAAAACCATTTTTGGAATTCTAAAAGTTAACTGGACACTTGCCAATATAGATAATCTCACCAAATAATACCTTCAAAATCCTATAAAGGTAGGCATGAGGAAGTTTTCATGGTTTGGTCCATTTAAAATATATTTCACAATCTTTCCTATTTATAGAAGAGGAAACATTCTCTTGTTTACTCTCACCATCGATGTAGGATGAAGACATTATAATAAAACACCCTTTCTTGTTTATAGAACATTATTTAACTTATTTATAATATTATTGTAAAGAAATTGAAAAGTCATGGGAGTTTCAAATTAATGTGGTGAAAGGAAGTTCAAAAATGAGGTTTCAAATGCATGAGATTCAAGAAAAAATGCTAGCTTTATATATATATATATATATAATATATATATATATATATATATATATATATATATATATATATATATATATATATATATATATATATATATGGGCCATGTGAATGTCACACGCTCTTTCCGGTAGGATATCCATGATATCACAAACATGATAATTGTTATAAACTTTATTATCATAAGAATGAAATGTCTAGATTAATATCAAACGCGCTGGGATCAAAGACTCCTTGCAACCAATCTAGAATAACCAACACTCAAACACAAATTCTAAGTTTCAATTTTCACACATGCATGGATTTCCTTCTCAGGTGATTCACTGTTTTGTTATCAACACGAAACGCTTGTGCTAGAATCTCATTTGAAATCGGTGGAGTAGATCCAAATATCGTGTTTGTGAGGCTAATAAGCCCCGGGTTTTGACTGCTCAAAGCAGCAATAGCACTTGCATTCGTATGACCTAAATTCCTCTGAAAATGAACAAGTCCAACGGGGAACACAAATACATCACCCTTTTGAAGAACTTTCGTAATAAGTCTATTCTGTGGGTCTGATGTAATGAATCCGACTTGAAGAGTTCCCTCGAGAACCATGATTATCTCAGTTGCTCGAGGGTGCGTGTGTGGTGGGTTGGCTCCCCATAGTGCGTAGTCAATCCGGATCAATGAGAGGCCAAGAGTATTGAGTCCCGGTATTTGATATACCGTTACCGGGGTAACTTTATACCCGTAAGAGTTTCTTGTATCACCGGCGATGTGGAGCCCACCATAGTAAAAATCATCGGCTTGGACAAACATAGGGTTCTTGCAAGCCATGCCGTTGACTCTTACTGCAACTAAACAAAAATAAATTTTATATTATTAGAAGACAAAAGAAGCTGACACTAATATTAAGAAATAATGTAAAAAAAAAAAAAAAAAAAAAAAAAAAAAAAAAAAAAAAACCGAGTATATTTAACCTAGATTGGTAGGATCGGCTACGCAAAAATCTTGTAGGGGTGCAGGTTCAAATGAAGAAACCCGTAAGAGTGAGAGGTTGAATGTTGCTATCAAAATGAAGAAGAAAAAAGCTGTTGCCATGGATTAATTGAAGCCTTTCCTAGCGTAATATTTGAAGCACAGTGACAAGGGTACTTGGATAGAAAAAAAGTTTTTTGGGTGAACATGTAGTTCTGTTTGAAGTATATTTATATAGTACGTATAGATGGAAGATCATGCAAAAGATCTTGGATCTTGGTGGTTAAAGCTTGTTTAGTTTACTTTGATAATATGACTACATTATCTTATTCAAGTCTTGAAAAAATTCAAGAATTGCCCTTAGTTCACTTGAGGTTCATGATTCATAAAATTGTATGGCCCATGTTACTATAATATATTATTGCTAATTAAATGACAAAATTATAGTTTATCTGTTTATCAAAGATTATAAACTTATTTATTGTAATTTATTTTACGAATATTGTCATTGTGTTTTTCAAAACTTACAGGAATGATTCATTTTTTTTAACACCGTTAGTTTTTTGTTCCTTAGTATAAGGGTAATTTGGTCTTAGCAAGGATTGTGTTTATGACCATGGACAAACCAAAGGGACTATTTATTTTGAAAAGCTTTTCAATGTGTGAACAAAGTTATAATAATGTTTTTAGTTATATTAAAAATGAATTTTTTACCTTGAAATTTTGGGATGTTACAATAAACCTATAAATTCACTAATTTAGAGTTTAATGCAACAATTATAAAAACTAATACATTCTTACATATTTACTCCACAAAAAAAATACTCACAAGAAAATTAATACAAATATTCATATTTCAACATATAATTTATAAAACAAATCACAACTTAATACAATCAATTCACAACTTAATATAGTCAATTTACAATTTAATACATGAAATTAACAGCTTAATATATTAAATTCATACTTTAATACACAAAATCTATACATTCACATCAATATTCTCTATTTAAAACTTACATTTATACATTCAGATATGTTGGCAAGTGTTTCTTTCAAATTTTTATTTATATAATATTCATAATTTAAGTTTTACATATTTTATTCAAAATTAGAGAAAATAAAATCTATGTATAATGCTTCTTTCATTTCATGTTTTAGAAGCAAACATAAAATTCGTAAAAAAAGTTAACAGCTTAATAAACTCATTTCACAGCTTAATATATTTTTAATTCACAATTTAATACACAAATTCACAATTTAACAAAATATATTTACAGGTTAAAAATTGCATCTGATGATGTTTTGAGCATTGGATGTTGTATTAGATAGCAGTTCACACACTCATCACAATCCACAGCTTAAAAAACCTAAACTCGTATTATTTGAGAAAACACTAATATAATAAAAACATGTTTAAATTTCACATTAAAACTAAAAAAACTCATACATATACTACTTAAAACTTATAAAAAATTCATTTAATCACAACTAAAACATATTAAAAAAATCATGCATTGACAACTTAATACTTACAAAGATCATGCATTCACAACTTAATACTTATAAAAAATCATACATTTATAGCATAAAACTTTTTCTAATTGAATCAGTCAGATGTGTAATATATTCATTAATAAATTAGTAATTATTAAAAACACACTTATTCACAGCTTAAGAAACAAGTCTAGACTTTGATTCACAGCTTAATAAACTAGTTTAGAAACTTATTCATATTATTCAAAGTTTAAAAACATACATTGTTTTCAGTGAGACATTTAATCAAACACCTTCAATGAATCTTATGTCCAGATCTGAGATTGTTCTCTTGCTTCAAATGCATGAGCACTGATGGTAGGCAGCAACAACAGTGGTGTGACTAGGGATGAGCATAACCGGGTACCCGCCTATTTTAGTCAGAACCGGAACCGCTCCCGGAACCGACGGTTCTTAAGTTTTTGGAATTGGAACCGAAACCGCCTACATCGGTTCCTAGAAAATCGGAACCGCCAGAACCGGTTCCGGTTCCAGGTACCCGACTTCTTGAATATTAAAACTTGTTATTTTATACATGCCATGTAAATTATGTAAATTAACCTATTAAAACTTGTTATTTTATACATGCCAAAACATTTACAAAAATATGATCTTTTAAATAACAAGCTAATAAAAACATTTCTCACTTTTAAATAACACAATAGCAAGAGCCAACAACAAACTACAAACTATAAAATAGCAACAGGAGACTAAAATAGTAATTCATAAAAGCAAAACATCAACAATAAAAACAGGCAAAAGTAACAGCAAAAACAACAAAAGTAACAAACTATAAACATTGTCTTTTCCTGGTTCTTCAACTTTAACATCAACTTCAACAACCTACAAAAGAAACTTGTATCATATAATATCATATATGTAAACAATGTAATTTGTTATACTAGATAAAAAAGTTTGATTCGTCATCTATTTTGTATGCTTCTACAGGCTTACAATCAACTGCCATATCCATTCTAGCAACAAGAAAATGTTGGTGAACTGGTGCATATAGTCCAGTAATGCTCCTAAAGCTCAAAATTCCAGTAAGTTTTTAACTTCAGCTTCAATCTTTCCATCCCGCAAAAACAAAAAAACAATCAGTGGTATTATTAAAAGTTTGACCATAAAGATATAGATAACTGTTAGGAAAAATGCCAATGGGTTACTTAAGTTAATTGAATATAAAGCAACCTAATGCGTACTGCAGATAAAGAAGCAGAAGGGTGTGTTAGTATGTAATATGTATGCATTTGCATATTGTGACATTGAAATGAGTTGAAACTTGAGGTTGATTTACTTACTAAATCCAAATTCTAACACGGTATTCCTTCCACCCAGTTGAGTAACAAAATTTAAAATGAAGATGATCAGTTGGTGCTTCTTGATGGATCACTTCAACAAAACTCAATATCTGTTCATAAAATAAGAAAAAAACAACATAAAATCCACCTTGAATATAAAACATACCTGGATTCGTGAGGGAGATAGATGGACATTGAACATATCAACCTGTGAACCAAATTCGATGTATCAACGTTTGAAAAAAGAAAAGAAAAAATAATATTACAGAGCCCCGTTTGGCCCTGGTTCAGTTCAACCGAGTGTATGGCCATTTCGCAACTCCAATCAGCAAAATTACCCCAAAAGTGAAATTCAACAACTAAAAATTATCCCCAAATGTCAAAATCAACAACAACGATCACAACTAAAAAGGATTTGGGTAAAAGAGTAATATATGAAATTAGGGATGGAAAAACTTGAAATCTAGAAGGAAAAGAACGCAATACCAGTTAGATCGCTCGGTGTTGGCAACAGCGAGTGTCCATTGAAGCTTACTGATTGAACGATCGGTTGAACGAACGATCGCTAACGGGAACAAAACGATCGATTGAGCCTACTGATTGAACCGTCGATTGATTGGACCTTCAATTGAACACAAAGATCGGCAACGGGAGCGATTGAAGCTTTGATTGAACAAACGATGACTTGTTTGAGAAGGGAGAGTGACGAGAAAAAGAGTGGCTATCGGCGTGTTTTTTTTTTGTAAGAATGAACCCTAAAAACGACTAAGGTAAGGAAATCAGGTATAAGTTCTATTGGCCTATTTTTTAAAAACATAATTAACAAAATATAAAAATTTAATATCTATATTTTTTTAAGAAAAAGGCGGGTACCCGGCGGTACCGGTTCCGGTTAACCGCCAGTTTCGAGGTACCCGGTATTGGAACCGGAACCGGCGGGTATCAGCGGGTATCGGTTTTGTAAAAATAAGAATTGGAACCGGAACTGCTTAAGGCGGTTCCTAGACCTTAGGAACCGGAACGGGAACCGCCTAAGGCGGTTTCGGTTTCAGAACCGGCAGTTCCGAGGCGGTTCCGGTTCCGAAAGCAGGTACCCGCTTCCGATGCTCATCCGTAGGTGTGACGTCGGTTATGGTATAGGTGGGGTCACATCAAAGGTGGTAGCATCAGATTTGCTGGAGATGATTTCCGTCAGATCTATTGTTCCAGCGAAGCAAATCGGTGAAGTTTTATTGCATTCCATCAGATATGGACGTCGAAGATCTAGAGACGAACTAGATCTAGACATCAAAGTAGAGTGTGACGTTTTTTGGTGTTTCGACAAAGCACAGTAGCTGATGTTAGGCAGTGGTCGGTGGTGATAAGGTCGACTATCAGATCAGACCAAAACGCACTAGATCTGATATGTTTTGCATTTTAGAGAGAGAAAACGAAGCTGAAGCAACTTCTTAACTCCAAATTTGAGACAAAATGGTGATTGACAGTGATGGTGGAAGGTGGTGGTTATCACCGCTTGCCGGAGCTCATAATCTAGAGGAGAAAATCTAAGATCAAAAGTCAAAGATCGTAGAATTAAAGAGGGATATTGTAGATCTGAAGCTGAAATTGTAGATCTGAAGAGGAAAATCGCAGATCTGAAGCTGAAATTGTAGATCTGGAGCCCAACGGAGCTAGTGGATCTAGTGGCGGTGGTTTGTCGAATGTAGGAGGCGACGACGGTTCGCCGAGGGTAGGAGGCAGCGACAGTCAAGGGTGGTGGCTGGTGGCTAATTGATGGTAATGTTTGTGTGTTCTTCAAGTTTGAGATGAGAGAGAAGATAACCATGTGAGAATGTATGTAGTGTTGGGTTTTAGTATACTACAACATCCTATGGTGCACATACAACCCTAAATGCTTTGGATCTATGTTTTCTCTAATTATACATGCACTATTGTTTCCAAAGCATTAAGCCTACAACTAGCATACAATTGACATAAACAACATAAAATACTACTTAGGAGTTTACCTCTTTATGTAGC